CCCTGTGTTGGGGTGTTTTTTTCCCAATTTTACAAAAAAAAAAGACTCAAAGAGGTTAAGTAACTTGCTAAAGGCCACAAGGCTAGTGAGTAGTAGGTGGCTGCGGAGTCGATAACACCTGCCAAGTTTACCAAGCTCTCATCTACACGAACTCATCAAATGCTGCCAGAAACTTTGTGAAATAAAGAAAGAAAATGACCTCCACTTGACAGATGAAAACATTGAGGCACTAAGGTGTTTTGGGTTTGCGCGTGTGTGCGCGTGATTTCTGTTTGTTTTCGAGCCCCAGCTCAAACTCGGGCTCAGTGCTCTTCCCACTACAGCACAGGCCTTACTTAATCCTTAGTCCAAAGCAGTCTGCCTGGTGCTATAGAGGAAACAGATACACCGCAACCCCACCGGGTCTCCCTGGGAATGCAGCCCCACAGGGCCAAGACCCCCCCTTCTCCCTTCCCCACTTACCCTGGGTTCACTGTCTAGTTTTGCCTCTGGCACGTAGCTGCCTGTCTGGGGAAGTGGCCACGTGGGCAGGCAGAGCCCACCGGAGTGTGCTGCCCTTCTCCAGCAACCAGGCAGTGAGCCATCTGGACCCCAAAGCCCCATCGCAGGCTTGTCTGCCGGGCTCTGCAGCTCCCTCCTTGGCAAGCTCGGGGTGGCACTGGATCTCCAGTGCATGTCTTCATCGGTACACAGGGATGCCACCCAAACCACTGCTCTCCCACACGACCAGCTATCTCCGAAGGCAAAGGCGGACTGCAGGGCCACCTTGCTGAGCCTCCCTATGGAAGCTGTGCCGTTGCAGGCCACAGGCTACTGGAGGAGACGTCACCGCCCCACTCCCAACTACCCCTCTTGGCCCAGAAACAGCCCGTACATCCCTGGTGCTCAGGCCGCCCTCACACACACCAGCCCCGAGTAGCCGCTCATTGTGAAGCCAGCCCACCTCCCTGGAGAACTTGTTTAAAAACATGTTTTTCTTATAAAACCTTCTAGGAAGTAATTCTAATAACAAAATACCGTGGGGTTCTCATAAGCCCTTGTAAGAGCAAAACACCCCGTAACTGAAACGTCCACCCACAGGAGTTAATGGGGGTGGTTGGCAGCCTTCCCCATGTCCATCTCCTCCCATAGGAGCCTGGTTTCCCCACCACGTGGTTTCAGCGGGATGGACAAGCACAGGGGGCTGGGGCACGGGGGGCTTCCCTCAATGGGACCACCATGCCTTCCTCACCAGAGGCTCAAGGTGGTCCTTGGTGGGGTCTTGCCTCCCTCTGCCTCGGGTGATGGGAACACTGTGACAGGCAGAGCAGACAGGGGAAAGGAAACCGGATCCTCGGCGCTTGCATCACTGAGTCACTCAGATCAAACCCTTAAAGTCACCCCACCTCTGGACTTTCCAGGTTCAGGAGCCAAAAGCCTCCCTTCATTGTTTAGGCCAGTTTCAACTGGGTTTTCTGTTACCTGTGACTGTAAACATAATCCCCGCTCCAGAGCAAGGTTCATTCACTCATGGCAGTCCTGCAGTGGACTGTGAAAACACACTGTGGATGCGTATACAGCCACAGAGAAATATTTCTTAGATACACTGAGTAAAACTCATTGTAAAACACAATTCGCATTTGTGTGGAAAATTCTCATTTGAATATGCATGGACATTTCCTAGGAGGGTACTTAATAGTGGATGCCTCTGGAAAACAGGACACATACTTTTTACACTCTGTGCTCGGATTGCTTCTACTTATACTGAAAAAAAGATTAGTTTAAGAGCCCTTTGAGGTAATAAAATTACAGTCCAAGGGGATAATTTAGTTTGGTAGTTATTAAGCCATGGTTTTGAAGCCCCTGCTGATGTACAAGATGCAGAGCACGGGAAGAAAGCAGAGTGAAGAAATAACTCTTCCAGACCTTTATAAGGCATAGACTTCCTCCTTTTACAAACCTGGAGTCTCTAAAATTGGTAAGTCCACCAGAACAGTAACCATTTGCATGTAGCCTTAACTTTCTCCTTCCCAAAGTTATACTGCCATTGCCATTCTATAGTGCCCACATCAGGTTTTCCTGAGGTGTCCTGGAGACCCCAAAAGCATTTTGAGAATGAATCTACCTTTATTGTAGCCTTTGAGGAGGAAAAGCCAGGTCTTACTGAGTTTACAAGGAGCTAAAAAGGACCTAAAGTTGTATAATTCTCTGGATTTTTGGAGAGAGCACCCAGATGAAGGAGAAAGGAACTGCAGGAGGCCCAGTCTGCCCTGGAAGGCTGGGAGGCATCCTCTTGGATGACAGACAAGCACGTGGAAACACCTGTACCAAGATTTATCCCTGGGGACAGGTTACCACAGTTTGGGGGCCGATATCCTACAAACCCTGTGGCCAGACACCTCACATGACCCTAGAGCTAGAAAGCGCCCACCCATGCAGGTCATACAGCCACCCCACTCACCGGGGACAGCTGAGGGCACTGGACCACAAGGTGACAGAGCTGAGCTCCTGACACCTGGGCAGGAGGATGCCCTGGGTGCTGGGACCACGGTAACAGCCCCTCCCCTTTCTCTGTGCCTCTGCAGTCCACACTCTGAGCTTGCCGGCCAAGAAGCGATCAGGTGGTCCCTACTGCCGAGACTGAGTCCCTCTGTCCTCTGCTGGCCTCTCACCCCCGCCTCCTCTTCTGGGGAGCTCTCCCCTGGGGTCCCTAAGATTGCAGTGGCCTACACTCACAGGCACGCCCATTACTGCCCCAGTGGCAGCCCCCAAGTAGTATCTCCTGAAGAGAAAGCTATGCCCGATCCCTCACCGCCCAGCAGGCTTGCTGGGTGGATGGCAGCTCTGGCCATGCGAGGAAGTGAGCTTGCTGCTGCTCAGAGCCAGGGCCTCCAGCACAGGGTGGGGCTGAGCTCTTTGGGGATGACATCATGCTCCCCCAAAGGCCCCCCCAAACCAAACCAGGCACCCAAATCCAGGTATAGAGACGGGGATCCGCACTCTTCCTCCAGCTGCTTGTCAAACGTGCCTCAGAGCCCAGTAACTGGCTCATCCTCAGGACACTGATGCTTCTCGGTCGTGCCCTTGGTGCTGGTTTTGCTCAGCAGGCACCAAGCAGAGGTTCAGAATCAGGAGCTGGCAGGCACCCAACCTCCTATTTTAGTTGCAGGTGCAGGTTCAGGGGCAAGAGCCTCCCAGAGTTTCAACCCAGCTCTTCCAAATCCTTGATCAGCAACGTACCTCATGATTTGAGCATAAAAATGGCTTCCCCGAGCTCTTCTGGTGACAATCAGGGTTTTTTTGGGGGTTTTTTTGCAGTACGCGGGCCTCTCACCCCTGCGGCCTCTCCCGCTGCGGAGCACAGGCTCCGGACGCGCAGGCTCAGCGGCCATGGCTCACGGGCCCAGATGCTCTGCGGCACGTGGGATCTTCCCGGACCGGGGCACGAACCCGCGTCCCCCTGCATCGGCAGGCGGACCCTCAACCACTGCGCCACCAGGGAAGCCAGACAATCAGTTTTTAACTGTTAGGTACTCTGTGTACTTCCTATGCTCCAGGAAGTTCTGGATCCATTAATTTTTATTGTTATTCACGTGGAGAAGACCAGCACAGTCTCATGCACCAGCACAGATGGCTTTCCTGCCCGGCTCACAGCCCTGCCTTGGGGGCAAGGGAGCCCCAGGAGACAGGTGAGCCCTGGCAGGTGCAGCTGAAGGTGGGACAAGGATGGGCGGGAGAGGAGACCTGAGAGCCCTGGCGGCAGCAGAGGACTTTGAGGATGGGGTGGTCCAGAGCGCCAGGTGCTGCAGAGGCCAAGAGGGATGAAGGCCGGTGACTGGGATGTGTGGCTTTCAGTCAAGTGAGGAGAATACTGGGTGATGGTGGGAGGGGGACAGAGACCGGACGAGCAGCCGCCTGGGAAGGAAAGCAGTGGTGGGGCGTGGGCTGGTAAGAGGGCAAGTGGGCCAAGGCAAGCTTTCTGGGATGGGGCTACGTGGGATGGGGCGAGGACAGCAGGCGGGAAAGATAACAGTTCAGAAGACCCAGGAGGAGGTGGGCAGGAGGGTCACAGGAAGGATAAGCAAAGACCCTGAAACTTCAAAGCGAGAGTGTGTGGGGGGGCCAGGAGGGGAAGTGCAGAGGCACAGGCTGGCCTCTATCTCAGTCTGAGAGGACAGGGAGTGGCTGGAGACTCAGGGTAGGCTGGGCAGGGAGTGACTGGGAGGGCTGCACTGTGGCTCCATGGAGGGAGCCCAGTGTGCTGGAGATGCCACGTGAGCACCCCTTATCCTGCACTTCTTTGCTGTTCTCATCCAACTCAGAGTCAGACGAGATGGCTGAAAGAGCCAGCAAGTTTCGTAAACTAATTGGAAAACAAACCCAAACTCTGAAAAAGTCACAGCTAGACTTCACCCTGAACTGGGCTGTGACCTCTGAAGACACTTGCAAGGGGTCCAGGCACCAGGTCCACGTGAATAGATGGGACAGCAGGAGCTGTTGGTGCCCACACACCAGCGGTGAGGGCCTGGGGCCACCGACTCCCCCAGGGCACCCTGGGTCAGATGTACCTGGCACTGCCACTAACCTCCTCCATAGATGGGCCAGCAGGTCCAAGACACACAGCTCATGCAGTGGCAGTGCCCAGATTCCAACCCAGTGTCCCCAAGCTCTTTTGCCTGGACCTTACTGCCTGGGGCTGTACAGTTATAACGTAAAATAACATTTCCTCCGGGCCTATGGAGTCAAAGTTCTACCTTATGCTTCCAGCTGGGCATAACTAAGCCACAAGCCAGCTTGTTCCAGGTGTAACCTCCACACAAAGAATCACTGAAAGTGGCACACAGAATCTAAAAAAAAAAAATCACCCGATGAAATTTATTTCAGATTGTGCCAACCACCTACCTTCCCGTCATGCCTACCCACACCCGATTCCACTGTTTCCCTCGGCAGCCGAGTTTACCACTGAGATGCTTAATGCCATCTTGATGTGACCCAAAACAAAAACAATCACAACAACAGCATTAATATAAAGATATATTCCATAAAAGAGTTTGGCAGTCAAAGAAAAGCATCACACTTCCTAAAAACACAAGCATTCTCCTTCCCCTAGTCTACAGAGAAAACTGTAAAAACACAAAACAAAACCAACATCATCAACAAACACCCACCAGTATATACCACATTAGCATGTACACTTCGGCAAGTGTGTGAAGGTGGCACTCCATCCCTGAACGATGAGGACAGAACTGGTACAAGATCCAGAGAGGCGTTAGAGTGTAGACCAGCCAAAGATGTACGAACGCCCCAGCTACGCCTGGGGGGTTATTCAGTACATAAGACAGACTTCATTTCCAACAGCAAGCCCCCAGTAGCTACAGGAAGGGTGGACACGGTGACCACAGATATCTCCGTCAGGGGGTAGAAGGTCACCATGAAAGTGAGCAACGAAACGTCCGAGCCTCTACACAGCTGCAGGCTGGGGTCCGTGGCTCGGCCCAGGGGCCTGGCTACGGGGCTTCTCTTTCCAGGGAGAGGCGAATGCCAGGCCGGCCAGCCGGCCCTCAGCATGTGGCCTGGAGAGGAGCCCTGGCCAAAGGTGTCCAGCTGGCCATCTCTGGCTGGGGCTCCCCGGCCTTGCAGTGGGGGAGGGTCAGGATCACGATTCAAGTTCCGGGTAACAGTTTCAGTAGCACCAAGACCAGAAGACAGTGAGGCCAAGTGGGGAGGGGAGTGGGGGTATGCATGTTGGGGGTGCACAGACGAAGGGGGAGCATGTATGTGCAGCTGGGTTACTAGGGGTGATACAGAGAAGCTGCTGGAGTTGGTTCATGGGACACTCAAGGGAACTGAAAGGGACGGCGTCAGTCCCAGACGCCGCGTAAGGCTGTCGAGAGGAGAATGCCAGAGGAAATGAAGATGTGGTGTGAGAACATTCTTGCCCTATAAATAAACTATTTACACACTTCAGGAAAAGGAGAGCTGACTCCGCAGGAGAGCCATGCCCACTGCCCCCTCGTGCCCTCAGGGCATAATGCTGTTGAGGCTGGAGACAGTTCCCGCCCTGGGCGCCGGGGCACGATGCACGAGGCACTCCCATGGCACCAGCCCCCGCACTGGCTCAGGCTTACTTCACTTGACATGGCCGAGGATCCGGCCAACACCCCGACCTGTGCAGATGCTGCGGGCCCCCCTGGCACTCAGAGGGCCACAGAAGGTGTGGCTGCCCCCTAGGCCAGCACCAATGACATGAGCGGTGAGGAGGCCAGGGTGCAGCCACCAGAGCCGTCTGTCCCTCAGAGTCACCTCCCCCACTTAAAGACATACCCTCCGACTCCAGGCAGACCCCAGCGGGGCTGCTGGTCACAAGTCTGTGCAGGTGAGAGGGGGCCCCTGGGTCTCCAGCACCGGCAAGCAGAAACAGAGAGATCATGTCACGCGGATGCTGCAGGCGGGGTGCTGGCTCGGGCTGGGTGCGTCCGTTTCTCTCCCTCTGGACGTGAAGTTGATGGCGGTGAAGGGCTTCGGCCTCCACGGCGTGGCTCAGCTCTGCTTGCCCACCTGTGGCTCCTCAGAAGTGGTGGCCTGCTTTCACTGCCTCAATGTCCGAGATCAGGGTCCTCGCCAGGAAGATGCCAAATATCTGACAACAAAGCCGGCAGAGGCAGCGGCCGTCAGCATCGGGGCCGAGGGGGAGGTGGGGCAGGGCACCCCGCACTTCCCGTCACCTCCACACCCACACGCAGAGGCTGCAACTGGGCACGTGGCCAAACGAGACCAACCCACAGTTAAAACAAATGAGCCCGGGCTCTGCTTTGCTGCGTGAAAAACAGTGGGATCTTCCCTAAAGCCTAGAAGGGGCAAACAGCAGGCACCACAGAAGCAAAATGGATGTTCTGCCCTGCCTGCAACATGACCACGCACATCCCACATCACAGGCCGCGACTCGCTTTGTACCCGGGGTGAAATGGAAACTGACAGGGTCACCCTGACTGGTTCTGATTCCCCAGATACCAAACCTCGAATGTTTCCTGTAAACCTGGATTCCACCATAAAAACGAGACTGTCCCCGATTTGGGCCATACTGGTGTCTGAAGCTACACCCCGACCTCAGTGACCAGGATAATCACGTGGGAAGGCTGATGTTTTCCTACCAGGAACAGACTAATGTGAACTTGGTGACCTGAGGAATTCTGCTCCCCTCACCCCCCACTTTAAATCCCTCTAGTGGCTGGTATCTGATGGGCCAGGCCTTCTGAAGTAAGAGATCCTTGCCTGCTTTGCAAGTAAATTTTTTTCTTTCTTTTCCAGATGCTTCTGTCTCTCGGCCTTCCTTTGAGATCAGTCAACCACTGAGTGAAGGAGGAAAAAGGTGCGTGGATGGCTGGTGACCCCGAGTCCACCCCAGTCACCCTCTTCAAGGCAAGGCCAGAGCCGAACATTTTCTAAATGGTGCGTTTTCCACAGAGCAGCAGCCGCAGCTGCCTCCGAGGCTGCCTGGGGGGCTGCCGGCTTCTCCTCCCAGCCCTGGGCAACCCTGGAAAAACTCCTGGTTTTTCTGATTCACTGAATTCTTGACTTTCTCCCACCAGTTCTTCTCCCGGGAGACACTAGGCAGCCTACTCACCCCGGGCCTCACGCGCCCTCAGCCACCAGCATCTTTCCCAGTGTAAAATCTGGCTCAAGGGAACAGGTGCGGCCACAAGGGGAGAGGAAGCCACGAAGGGCAGTGGGGGCAAACCTGCAGCAGTGAGATGGCGATGAAGACGCCGGCCACGATGTAGATGTTCCGTGGGAGCCACCCCTCCAGCGCCTGGATGCAGCCTTTCGTGAAGATGGACTCGTCCCATTTGCTCTTCAGCTGCAGGGAAACAGGACAGCGGCCTGAGCCCGAGACACGCAGGCCGTCCCCACCCTGGATCCCCAGAGGGCTCCCGCCGGGGGCAGAGCAAAGCTCGGGGTGGCGGGGGGGAACGAGGGATCTGGGAGGCTGGTGCAGAGGACAGATGGACAGACAGAACTCTCCAGGAGAAACACGTCTATTTGCCTCGGTCTCTGCCCATCCCCGGGCAGTTCGCATTTTATAACCCGTCTAAGCAAAGGCTCCCTGGCTGTGCTCTTTAACCCCTTTCTCTTAGGGGCCTCCACAGATTTCAAGGTCAGCTTGCTCGACACACCTCCACGTCTGGAGAAAGGGGAGGGGGATGAGGGCTTGGGGAAGGAAAATGTGCCTTAACGAGAGAAACTGGGGAAAGAGGGTTCAGCGCCTTCTGAGTCAGGAGAGGGAAGGGACAATGGCTTCTCAGAGTGTGCCCCCGAGCCCAGGTGAGCCTGGCTCCAAGAAGCAGAGCCAGCCGGAACAGGCTGAAGTCGACCCTAGCGGAGGCTCAGTCAGCACACAGGGATGTGGCCTCGGCAGACACCGTGTCCTCACCCACCCTGAACACAGTAGTCAGCCCCGGCCCCCCTCCCCTATCAGCCTCACCCATGAAGCACTGACGGAACATTCATTCATTAGCAGTGTTAGGGGCTGAATTATGTCCCCCTAAAATTCCTGTGTTGAAGTGTTAACCCCCAAGACCTCAGAATGTGACTGTATTTGGAGAGAGGCTGTTTAAAGAGGTAAATAAGTTACAGTGAGGTCATTGGAGTTGGCCCTAATCCAATATGACTGGTGTCCTCGTGAGAAGAGATTAGGACACAGACAGACACAGAGGGAAGCCCATGTGAGGACACAGGGAAGAGGAGGCACCATCCAAGCCAAGGAGAGGGGCCTCAGAAGGGACCCACACTGCTGACACCTTGACCTCAGACTTCTAACCTCCAGAACTATGAGAAAATTAAATCTCTGTTATGTTAACCGCAGGGCCTGGGTACTTTTTTATAGCAGCCCTGGCAACTGATGCAAGTGGCGAGGAAACTGGTCACTGAAGAAGCTGATGCTGACACAGGCCCATCGCCATGAAGCGGAGCTCACTGCAGAGGGAGCTGAGGTTTCCCAGGCTGAAGGGTCCCATCCCTAGTGTCCACGGCCAACAGCGGGGTGCCTGCAGTTTCCTCGAGATCCCTCTCCTTCAGAACAGCTGTCATTCACATCACCAGAGGCCACCAGAGCAAGGACTGGGGTGGGTCCTCGCCGCTTCACGTCCAAGCGCACACTCCGTACGGCCTGAGGAAGCCCTTAGAGGGCCGAGCCCTGCTCCTGCCCTGAGCCTATCTCCCTCCCTGTCAGCATCGCCTCCATAATGGCGGCTGGACCAAGCCATGTGCCTCCTGCAACTCCATCCTGAACCCCTACATAGCAGACACCTCCTGGGACTCCAAGGGCCTCTTAAACATGTCGTCTTTGTTCCCCCAAACTTTCATCCATCTTATTTCCACTAACGTAGCAACTGCTAGATTTTGTGACTATGGTTCACAGAGCTTGAAATCACACCCATTACTGTTCCCATGAATCTTGTCTTGCCAGCGGCTCAGGGAAGGCGTGTGCGTGGCCGTGTGCTCCCGCTTGCCTGGTTCCCAGCTCAGGTGGCACCTCTGAGCTTAGTCTCCCCCGGCTTTCCCACTCCAATTTGCACTTGTGCTAAATCGGGAAGTTGGACCCTAGAGAATAAGCCTGAAGAATTCAAGGTCATATGCATTGAGCTCTCACCTGAGTCCTGACATCATAGCCACACTGTGTGTTCACAACTTTTTGCTGTAAGAAAAGCAGAAAGATTAGTCATTTTTGTGCTCCAGAAGCCGGTGGTAGAAAGCTCTAGGAAAGTCACAACCAAACACCAGCAAACACCTGCACCAATTCCATTACAGCTCATGCCCTTCCATCATGCTGCCAACTAACCTTCCACGCTAGGACAAAGGTTGGCAAATTTTTTGTGCGAAGGGCAAGACAGTAAATATTTCAAACCCACCTACGGAGCTACTATTCAACTCTGCTGTTGTAGCATGAACGCGGCCATTGACAATATGTAAATGAACAGGTATGGCTGTATTTCAATAACACTTTATTTAGGGACACTGAAATTTGAATTTCATGATTTTCACGTGGCACAAAATATTATCCTTCTTTTGATTTATTTTCAACCACTTAAAACGGCTGAAACCATTCATGGCTCACAAGTCATCCAAAAACAGACAGCAGGCCAGATCTGGTGCAGGGGTCGTTGTCTGCCTATCCCTGAGCTAGAAGGGAAATGCTACACTTGCTAAAGATTTCACAGTCACAGTGGAGATGTCAGACACCGCTGTGCAGCCTCTGCAGACCTGAGCCCCTCCCGGGCTGGGGAACGCACCCAGAGCCCTGTGGCCCAGCACCAGGCAGTGTGACGGTACTGACGGCCGTAGGGGCTCCCTTCTGCTCAGGCTAGGTTTGGGCAAACATTCAGTGCTCCTTCAAGGACACCCAAGGGAATTCCCTGACAGTCCATTCGTTAGGACTCGGCGCTTTCACTGCTGTGGCGCCAGGTTCAATCCCTGGTCAAGGAACTAAGATCCCATAAGCCGTGCAGCGTGGCCAAAAAATCGGCGGTTGGGG